TTTAAACAAATAAATTATATTTTAGATTTATGATAGATTAGTTATATCATAATAAAAAAAAATTATTTATTAATAATATATTTTAAAATATTAATATTTAACTCGTAAGTAATTATAAAAAAAATAAAAAATAAAATAAATAAATTAAAAGCATTCTTACAAACCTGTTCATTAAAGAAAATTTTTTAAAATTACTCTAGCTTAAAATAAAAATTTATTTTTAATACACAAGAATTGATTATTATAATATTTATATAACTCACCACTTTGCTTATTTGTAATTTTTTATTTTTTACTTTTCATTTAAATAAAATACGTAGATATTATTTGTAAGATAAGTGAAAACTAAATTCTAAGAGTTAATGATATCTAACATTATTTAATTACATATAATATTATTTAGATTAAAATCTAATTTAATTTTATTTTTATTTTAAATTTTAGTTTAATTTCTTAAATATTTGTATTAAATCAAGTTGATTCTTTTCTTAATTTATCGCATTAATTTTTCTAAATTTAATAACATGTTACACAAATTGTGTAGATGTCATATAATTTAGACAAAGTTCATATCCTTATTTTGATTAAATAATAAATAATAAACTATTATATAAAAGATACTTGCACGTCATGAAGGTGAAGTCCCTCTCCATTTGTCATTCTAATTTATAATATTAGTGACTAAATTAATATCTTTTGAAATTATAAATATCGCAAATTAAAAACATAGTTAAACTTTAAAAAATAAAAAAAATAAAAAAAACCTATAAACTACGTCACACCACACAAATTAAATTAGGCTATTGGCCAGTCCTTTCTGGTTTGACAATTAAGTTGACCGGAGTTGCATTACATTACAGGTAGCTGAACACAAAAATTGTTCTTACATAATGAATCTCAGCAACCTGCTGTAGAGTAGCGTAGCAATTCATAATTTGTGCAAAAGCAAATGGCGAAAGTTTTCTGTGATTTTCGGTTTCTTCTCTTGGTTGCAGCTGGCGTCTTCATCTATATCCAGGTGTTGTCTGTCTCTCTAACCCTAACTATGTCTTTCCCACGGTACTCTTATTTTAACATGTCGTTTATACATGTTCAGATGAGGCTTTTCGCAACACAATCTGAATATGCTGATCGCCTGGCTGCAGCCGTAACTCAACTCCGCTTCTCATATTAATCTATATATTCTGTATTTCCGTAGCTACTATTTCGTAGGTCATCTATATCGTTGCTAATAATTGTTTCACAGATTGAAGCTGAAAACCATTGTACCAGTCAAATGCGATCACTGATTGATCAGATTAGCTTGCAACAAGGACGAATTGTTGCCCTAGAAGGTTTGCTTTTTATTAATTAATTGTGGAATATTCGTCTTACATTTATATCTGATTGCATGACTAGCTTGACCGCACTGAAATGTTCTCCTTTAGTCTACTCTATAATGCTGGATGAAAGTTTTCTAATACCTAATAATGATTCAAGTATTCAACAAAAGAAAAAATGACTAATGGATGTATGATGTATCTCTCTGCTTAGGCTATAGAAACTCTGTTATCTGGGGCATTAATTATCTCTGGTACGTTAACAATCCTGAATATTCAAGCTCATGAACTGATGGGTGGCCTGTGGTGACATTTACTGTGTAGTTGCTTGGTTGCGATTCCTGGACCTGCTGGTCTAGTAGTATTACCCAAAATTACTCTGGTATTGAGAATAGGGTGGGGAGGACGATCAGTGGAGCAAACCATATGTCAATTTGCTAGGCTCTGCGTTGATGTTAATCAAATTAAACCTTTGCTAGTCTTGTTCATAGTCAGAGGGAGGAGGTTCGGGATGGACTTATTCAATTAAATTAAATACAAGAATTACATCTAAATTAAGAAAATGAGCATAATTAATTGTTCAGCCCAAAAACTAAGTAATCCACGTAAATAAAGTCTAGCCCACAGATGCATCTTTAATATTGGGTGTTGACCTTTCCAAATTATTGTCTTTAAGTTGGTTGAGATTATCTTCAAGGCGTACAAACGTGACATTTCTTGGATTGGACTTTATGATACATGAATCTTCTTTAACTTGCACCTCCATGACCATGCTTTAAAAAACCTCTTTAATTCTTTTAGCTCTTGTTGTAATCAATGGCCATCAATCCATTGCAAAGGATTGATATTATTGGACCTTGATAGATTCATATCAACTTAGGATTAAAAGTCTGTCCCTCATTAACCAGTTTTTTCTAGTGAAGATTTGACAAAGTGTTATGGCTCGGACTCTTGGTGTGCAATGATTGACTGGTGGAAGTTATGAAAGGGAACTGTGGAAGGGCCTTAGATCTCCTAACTTCTTTTACAGTCAAACAAACATATTCCATGACTTGGAAATTGTAAAGGTATGACCCTTGTGTGGAGTAAAATGTCAAATAGAATATGATGTGATACGGGGAACAGAAGTAGAGCAAGGATGTGGGGGGTTGACCAGATGAGTAGATTAATCATGAACTTAGACATCATGTTTTTGGTGCCACATAATGGCTTGAATACTAATGAGAGAAGGAGAAGGTGGGCAATAGTGGACCCAAACTGTCTCATGTATTCCTGTAAAGCTGAGGCTATTTTCGCATGTTTTAAGGAACTGCCCTATGGTTATTGATGTTTGGAATAGGTTGGTTGAGCCCCATGAAAGATGTTAGTTTTTATCAAGGAGGGTTGAGAGAATAGATTCAGCATAACAGTAGAAACAAGAAAATAAAAGATACAGTATGGCCTTTTACATAGGCAACAACATGCAATGTGGAGTGGGATGAACAGAGAATTTTTTATGGTCGTTTTGTCAGGCTTGTGGTCCCTACTGCTCTAGTTAGAATGGGTGGACTTATTTTGTGGGAAGGCTACCAGCCTTATGTATCATCTGGGAGGAGGCGTCATGAAACTCATTAGATGGTTCTGGACAATGCTGAATTGAGTCAAGGTCAATATGTATGGAGCATCTAAAAATTCCAGTAGGGTAGTTGGTTATGGTAGGGTAATAAGGGATAATTTGGGCTATTGGATCAATGGTTATACTGAAAACCTTAAAAGGGGTTTCAGCAGGTCGCTTTGGAGTTAAATTTGCAGCAGAAAAGTACAGGGATGGGCATTATAGGCAGATATTGAGGGGCATAAAGAGCATGATTGTTGGAAATGAACAATGTAGATCATACATACCTTTGGGCTATTGGATCAATGATTTTACTGAAAACCTTAAAAGAGGTTTCAGCAGATCAATTTGGAGTTAAATTTGCAGCAGAAAAGTCACAGGGATGGGCATTATAGGCAGATAGTGAGGGGCATAAAGAGCATGATTGTTGGAAATGGACAATGTAGATCATACATACCTTCACAGAAGGTAATCATTGTGTGAATTCAGCTGCCTGGTCTTAAAATTTAGGAGTCAACCCCTTGAGACTTTTAGGGGATGCTTTTGAGGGATGTTATGGGAGTTACTACTCTTGGGGTTTGTTCGTTGTTATTTTTGTTTCTTGTTTTGGGTCCCAAGCCCCTTTTCGTAAAAAAGATGGTTCTCCTTCATTAATAATGTTTAATAGTTGGATAGATGAGCCTATGGTCATTAGCAATTGTTATTTTGTTTTATTTGTTTAATTAATTTTTTTCCTCCTTTGCATATAATATTTTTGCCAAATTAAATTGGTTGTTGTCTTGGATTCTTTCAGAAGAGAGGAAACGCCAAGACCAACAATGTGGACAAATGAAGTCTCTTTTACAAGATCTTGAAAGTATGTTATGATTTGTAATAAGGTCTCTCTTTTCTTGGATAGTGGTGGTGCATCTCTCTCTCTCTCTCTCTCTCTCTCTTTTCTATTTAGCATGTGATTATGGGGGCATTTGGAAGAATTTTTATGGTTGTTCTTATGTATTGGAAAAAATTCAAGTCTCACGTCGACTACAGATAAAGCAATTAAAAATAATGTAAGTGGAGGACAACTCTCATCTTTCAAGCTGGTTTTGTAAGATTGAGTTAGGCCTATAACCCACATTCTAAGATGGTATCATAACTATCTAAATCTACTTTAAAAGGGTCACCCACCATTTGATACACACACCAAATCCAATAGTACTAGATATGAAGGGTTGTATTGGGAAAAACTCAAGTCTCACCTATCCTAGATCATTAAAATGGTCACTCACCATTTATTCACGTATCAAACCCAATAGTTTTGGACGTGAAGGAGTGTATTAAGAAAAACCTAAATCTCACATCGAGTAGAGATAGACAATAAAAAAATATATAAGTAGAGAGCAACCCTCACCTTACAAGTTGGTTTTGTAAGGTTAAGTTAGGCCCATAACCCACATTCTAAGATCATGAAAATGACTTATTGGGTTTGTTTGTTACTTTGTTTAAACTTTTTTTTGCACTAAAAGTGCTTCTTTTTTTGTAAAATAAGCACTTTGTTATTTTTTGATGTGTTTGTCTAAATTTCTTTTTTTAAAATAAGCAGTTTTCTGATTTTTTTAAGAAACAACTTCTATCTACTTCTCAAAGAATTGTTTGTTTTTCAAAAGATATTTGTTTAGAAACATTTGTTTTTAAGTTTAAACAAACAGACCCATTATCTTCCTATTAACTCTTTTTAGCTTATTCAATAATAGATTCAAGCTTATGAGTAAGCCCTTGTTTAATTAACTTTTTAGTTCCTATAATTTAAAGGTCTTTTGCTTTTGGTTTTTTATTAAATTCTTTTGTTGATTCTCGCCCCTATAATATATTAATATATTAATATTAATATATTAATATATATATTGCATTTGGTCCTCGTTGTTTGGTTGTAAGAGTTAAATGCTAATGCGGCTAACAAAGTTCCAACTCAGCATTGCCATGTTTAATGACATGTGTAATTTTTTTCTAGGTCAGCAAATAGGGACAAAATCTAAAATGAAAAAAAAAAGTTATAAGAACCAAAATAAGAAGGGTAATTTTATTATTTTTATAGGGATGAAAATAATTTGAAAAATTAAGAGGACTAGAATGAAAATAAGCCTATATTATATGGACTAAAAGTTATTCAATCCTTTTGAAATTATTAAAAAAAAAACCCTCAAACACTACAAATAGCATAAAGAAGTCTCCAATTAATGTATGCCCAGAACAAAGGTTTGAATCCTTCTCCGAACGGTTTGATATCTACTTTGGAGGCAGTTTAACTTCAAGAGGTGTGCATATCAATGTATAATACTCAGACCACCATTTGTCAATTGATAGGGTCAAGCATAAATTAACATTGTTCTTGAGCCATATAGTGTGAGGACCCTTGCTTATTTAACACTACAATCAGGCACTGGTGCAATGACTCTGGTTCAATTAACATTGTACTTGAGCCATAGTGTGTTATTTCTAGGTACATTCTAGAATTAGCACATATAATCCCATTGTGAGTGATCCATATTTGGGGTTTGACAAGTTTTATGGTTTATTGACGAGGGCCTAATACTGCCTTCCTCCTTTACTTGGGCTTGGATCAGCTATGAGACCATAGGTGGTGTTTCACCTTGTTCTCATGGCAAATGGTCGGGAAGTATTGTAATGGCTTAAGAAAATTCCACTAGGGTCCTATTGCTTGAAACCTGGTTGGAGCTTAAAATGAACCCTAGATGGGGCTGATAACCTAAGGTTTGCAATAAGTTTTCTTGGACTTATTCAGTAGGGTTGACTTAGTGAGTTAGTCTGCAACTGTAGAATAAGCAACTGTTCAACAATATCATTCTTCATTATGATACAATATATGTGACCATTTGCAGTTGTAAATTCTCATAATTAAGCTCTGTCAGTTTATGATCAGAAAATTCTTCATGAATATAAAACTGTCAATCAAATATTTTATTTTAAGTTATGCATCTTACATCATATGCACTGTGCATTGTTAGTTTCATATACACACAAACGTATTAGTAGTCCATCATGTCTGAAATTTTACAAACAATCTAATGGAGTTATACATATAGTCGCATATTAGATATCCAAGAAACTTATCATTTTATTCTGTAAATGTACCTTTCAGGAAAAGACCTACAGAGGCTGATTGATAAAGTGCAGGTTGAGCTGAATGTTTGGCAGTTTGCTCAGCCTTCTATTCCTCTTTCTTGAGTTTATTGTGTGATTCTCTGTGCTGAACGTTTTAGGTTCCGGTGGCTGCTGTTGTGATCATGGCATGTAATCGCGCTGATTACCTGGAGAGGACTATTAATTCTGTATTGAAGTAGGCTTCATATTACAACATACTTTTTTTTACTAATCTCTTATACTTTATAATACAACTATTTATTTATTCATGAGTCATGATCTACATATTTTTACAGATACCAAAGGCTCATTTCTTCAAGATATCCTTTATTTGTATCTCAGGTATTTTATGTTAAGCTTTTTGGTTTGCACTTTAAAGGAGTTTGTTTTGTTTCCCAGAAACCCCCGAGACATGGTAAATATTTTGTAAATGCAAATACAACATAAACAGCTGATTCTGTTGCTTTATCTATTCAGGATGGATCAAATCCAGATGTTAAAAGTAAGGCTTTGAGCTATGATCAGTTATCTTATATGCAGGTATACATTTACATAAATGAGGTGTACTTAAAATCAGCTCATTATATTTGTATCCTCTTATTTTCAAAGGTCAATTACATGTTGTGCATATTAATAACATGTGTAAACTGACAGACAGCTATGACTATGATGTTTGCTGTAAATTAGTTATTTATTAGCTTCTCAATTGTTTATAATTCTTACAATTTGGATTTGGGTCAACTCAATGCAAAAGTGAGATGAGAGTCGCTCCGTCACTTGTATACACTATTTTGGTCATATCAATAGTCCACGTGGGATCTTCAATATTCTCTCTCAAGCTTAAGCCCGAACAATTGTGGGTGGTCTAATAGCAACTTGGTAATAGGTGGCTTGATAGGTCTAACAAGAATCATAGGATAAACTCTGATATCATCTTACAATTTGGGTTCGAGCCTAGCTTAACTCCAAAAGCTAACTCATGAGGTGAGGGATGCCTCCTCACTAATAAGATATTTGTGTGCAAGCCAAGGTATATAATTCTCAGGAACTTTATGTCTCCAGCCTGAATTGGATAATATAAAAATAGATGGGGTTCCATTTCACAAATTTATGGTTTTTTTTATAAGGAAACAAGAATCAGAGAAAACAAGAGAAAATGCTAGAACGTGAAAAAAATACATTGACAGAGAATGTGAGAATTGTATTCTCTGAAATATTCTGTTATTGAAAAACTAACTAAACCTTCCAAGTTTCATGTACATATGCCTTGTAAATCAAAGGCTGATTTGCAGATAAGACCCAAGACTGAAATTTGGGCTCATTAGATGTTAATTTGCCCAACTACAAATTAATTCAAGAGGTAGCTGAGTTGTAGTTCATATCACGTTTGCTACTGTCTTTGATTTATTTGATCCTCCAGATGGCTGAATTGGCTTTCAGTATCTTAATCAAAGTTGTAGATAACTCTGTCCTTGAAATTTGGGCACTCGTTTGTTTTCTTGCTGGGTACAAGATTGAAAATAATGCATTGGTTGGATGCCCGGTTATTGAGAAGGAAGGACACTTTCAAATCCAAGCTCTGCAGCTAGTCTGCACTCTTTGGACTTTTAAAATTTAGCGAACTGAAACATCTTGGTAGCTAAAGGAAGGGAAATCAATTGAGACCCCGTTAGTAGAGGCAAGTGATAGTGGATTGGGGTTTGAAGAAAAACAAACACAAAGCTTCGTTTCTCTTTCGAGTATGATAAATTCCTCAGCAGCAAAGTGTTCACTTCTTTTTCACCAGGCTTCATTCGATTTGTTGTGGATTTTGTTTCCCTTTTTGACTGCTACAACTCAATATACACTCAAAATACTGTACCTATGTCAGACTGTTAGGACAAAAATGCCTTCAATTTTAAGTCCAGATTTGTCCATGATAAGCCGAATTAGTTCACGACTTCTTCATAAGATTTATGTTTTTCTTTAATCTTTTCATAGACACAGATCACTTCAAACGCATCTCTAGAGCCCAAGTTATGACCTAAACGAGGACAAAAGGTCAAAACACATTATATTCTGAAAATTAACCAAGATATGCATAATAATCCAATTAAATCCAAATATACAAAACTAAACTAGAACCCCACCAATATTAGGCACAATAAACATCCAATAAAGTCAAGTACAAAGTCATAGTAAATATATTAAAATTGGTCAATCAATTAACTACAAGATTATGCCTAAATCTATGAAATCTATGAAAAATAATAAACAAGATTACAACATGCTAAATATGATGCAAAGCACAACACATCAAAGGTTTATTGCAAGCCAAATGTAGAGGGAGTTGTTATGGCTCATGATTATTTAGTGTCCCTAGATATTTGATTGGTAGATAATTTAAAGAATGTATGGTTTAGGCCACCATAATGGATTCATTACCAACTTGATGACATTGCTACTTGAACCCCATGGAAATTTATTTCCTAAAATATGTGTTGTGGATAGATTGGGTTGTCCACCAGTTATTATTTACAAATTTAAATTTGTATTTAGGAATTTCAGCTTGTTGTAAATTGAGTAAAATTGTATTTAGGAATGTAAATGTGTTTGAATTGGAGAGTTCTTCCCTCTTATTCATTTTCAAATTTATTGGCATAGTGATATGCTAGAGACATAAAACCAATATTGTGCTCTCAGTAAAATCATTTGGTCTCAATAATTTCTGATTTGTGGTTATTGAGAGATCTAATAGTTTGATAACAAAAAAATCGGGTTCTCTTTACTAATGATAATAGTTTGATGCAGCACTTGGATTTTGAACCAGTTCAAACTGAATATGTCAGACTGTTAGGACAAAAATGCCTTCAATTTTAAGTCCAGATTTGTCCATGATAAGCCGAATTAGTTCTTCCCTCTTACTCATTTTCAAATTTATTGGCATAGTGATATGCTAGAGACATAAAACCAATATTGTGCTCTCAGTAAAATCATTTGGTCTCAATAATTTCTGATTTGTGGTTATTGAGAGATCTAATAGTTTGATAACAAAAAAATCGGGTTCTCTTTACTAATGATAATAGTTTGATGCAGCACTTGGATTTTGAACCAGTTCAAACTGAACGGCCAGGGGAGTTAATTGCTTACTACAAAATTGCAAGTAAGAGTTTTCTTCGTGGTTTTCCTCATTTCCTATATTATGCTCTCTATTTAAAAAGAATATTTTATTGATTCCTTTATCAGGTCATTACAAGTGGGCTCTAGATCAACTGTTCTACAAGCATAACTTCAGCCGAGTAATCATTCTTGAAGGTGAAATGGGCTATATCTTTCCAGCATTATGTATCTTTATCTTTTTATCATTGGTAAAAACATATTGAAGCTAATACAATAACTTTATCCATCAGATGACATGGAAATAGCACCTGATTTCTTTGATTATTTTGAAGCTGCAGCAGATCTCCTTGACAAGGATAAGTATGTGTTCAATAAGAGCAGAATACTGAATTTATTTTCTGCTAATTAACTACAGTATTTCTTTTTAAGATTTTGGGATCTCTGTTCATAATTTGATTCTAGGTCCATTATGGCTGTTTCCTCTTGGAATGACAATGGACAAAAGCAGTTTGTACATGATCCATGTAAGTTTATTTGTCTTTAGGTTTCATTTATAATGCCCATGAGGAAAACAACAAGATTTTAAAATTCGGGCCTTGTGGTTTTCACATCTGTAGGACATATGAACAGCCTGTCCGGCTGTTTGTTTTATGACTATTATTTGCTTCTCTGGCTCTCCCCATCCTGTTTGTTGTTTGATTCTGCTCCTAGAAACAAGATTTTTCTATTGGTACTGGCTTTTGTTTCTCAAGGATAGTCTTAGAATTTGGACTTAGGCTCTATCTCATACTCACAAAATTGGCTTCTAAGATGAGAACTACTTAAGGTGACTTTTCAACACTTCTAGCACAAGTTGTCATTATACTTATAGCAGAGACTTTTTCCTAAATTCCTATAATATAATTTTATTTGACTGAATTGCACTTTTAGATCCTCCTAATTTTGAAAAGGTTTTGATCTCCTGAGTTCCAATTGCACCAATCCTAGTCTAGTAGATATCAAGTTGATAGGAAATGGGTGCTACTGGCACGTCTTCTCCATGTTAGCAAATGCAGTGCAATATCAACAAGACGATTAGGCCATCTTGTCAACAAGGGACTTAATTTGCATCCATTTCAAAACTATTAGGGTGATATTACAAATTTGCAACTGAAGCCAGGTTCCCAGAATCAAACTTGTAGGCATCATGGTTATTTTTAAATGAGGTTGCCTATTGGAGTATATCTTTACTCCTTAATATTGTATTAGATTTATCAATGTATAGGGTTATTTTTCAGTTAGTTATTTTTTGTTTTAGCTTGATTACCTGTTCAACAGGTCAATGTTTCTATAGCTTCCTTTGAAGCTATTGAAACATATAAATAGGACAATTGTATTACAGATTCATTACTGAAAATACAATTCCCTTTCTTTGTTAATCCTTCTCGCTTTCTCTCACTCTCTCCTTCTCCAATCTTTAAGACTCTCACAATTCTAATATGGTATCATAGAGTTGTCGATCCTTACCACCTTTCTTTTCTTTCTGCCTGACTACACTATCTGTCTCCACTCATGGCTAAAGAACCACCATCGTCTTCCTCAACAATACTGCCCTCATCACCACCCCACTTTCATGCTGCACCGGTAAAACCCTCCTCATCCCCTTCCCTCACCTTCTCGCACACTATTTCCGAGAAACTAGACACCAAGAACTATCTTCTTTGGTGTCAACAAGTTGAACCAGTTATCAAAGGCCACCGTCTTCATCACTTTCTGGTCAATCCCAAATTCCCTAGAAATTTCTTACGGTTTCTGACAGAGATGCCAACCAAATCTCTGAAGAATATCTTGCTTGGGAATAGCAAGATCAGTTACTTCTTTCCTGGTTACAATCATCAATGTCCAAGGACATGCTCACTCGAGTCATAGGATGCAAATCCTCCTTCCAAATTTGGGACAAGATCCATGCGTATTTTCATGCGCACACTAACGCCAAGGCCCGTCAACTCCGAAGTGATCTTCGCAGCACAACTATTGACAATCGTTCAGTCTCCAATTACTTTCTTCGAATCCAATCCCTGGTTGATGCCCTCACAGCTATTGGTGATTCTGTCTCCCCCAAAGAACATCTTGATATTGTTCTTGAAGGCCTTCCGGAGGAATATGAGTCCATTGTTTCTCTAATTAGCAGCCGTTTTGATAAACTGTCAATAGAGGATGTCGAAACCCTTCTTCTTGCTCATGAATCGCGCCTTGTGTTGTTAGTGTATATGGGTTACAACAAAAGGGAATATTTGTTTGTTTGTGCTTTTTGCTTTTTGCATTCTGTGATATCTTTAGGATATCTTCAGAATCTTTTTAGTGGACAGCTGTCCTGCCACCTCTCTAATTTTTCTCTCTCTGCTGGTTGCTTTTACAACCGTTTTCTCTCTTTTCTCTCACTGTTGTTTTTAGAAAAGGTTCCCTATATATTCAGCTCTCCTTGTATTCCTTCGTAAGCATCAACGATAATAAAACTTCACTATTACATTTTACCTCTCTTGATTTTATCTAACATGGTATCAAGAGCCTTCTGATCCTGTACCCGGATCTTAATTTTTCTTCCTCATCTCTTCTATGGCAACTTCAAATAATTCCTCTCCCTTTTCACAATTTTTCTCCAACTCCATAGCTGAAAAACTTGATGATTCAAATTATCTTCACTGGAGGCAGCAGATCGAACCAGTCATCAAATCCCACAAACTTCAACGGTTTGTGGTTAATCCGCAAATTCCACCCCGGTATCTGACAGATGCTGATCGTGATTCTGATATTGTTAATCCAGCATATGAAACCTGGGAGGTCCAGGATCAAATGCTTCTCACATGGCTGCAATCGACGCTCTCGAAGTCTATCCTTTCCCGTGTCATTGGCTCCGTTCACTCTTATCAAGTGTGGGACAAGGTTCACGAGTATTTTCATACTCAAACTAAAGCTCGTGCTCGACAGCTCCGCACTGACCTGCGTTCCACCACTCTTGATGGTCAGTCTATGCGTGATTTTCTGACTCAAATTAAAACTATTGCTGATGAACTTGCTGGAGTTGGGAGTCCTGTGTCTCTTGAAGAATATGTTGATGCTGTTCTTGAAGGACTGCCTCAGGAGTATGCACCTATGGTCTCTGTTATTGAAAGCAAGTTTGTCACTCTTCCTATTGCTGAAGTGGAAGCTCTTCTTCTTGCTCATGAGTCCAGAGCTAATCGGTTTCGTAAGCAATCCTTTTCTCCTTCAATTAATTACACTCAGGTTATTCTCACTGATGCCAAGGTCGAGTTCGAACCTTGATGACAAGGTCGAGTCTGAACCATTGAATAAACATTGCGTTGCCAAGGTCGAGTCTGAACCTTGATGCCAAGGTCGAGTTCGAACCTTGATGATAAGGTCGAGTTTGAACCTTCAAATAAAAATTACAGGGGAAAAAAGGCTGAGGAGGAAAAAGAGTACATCACAAAAATTTACAATTTAAGAGAAATAAAATTTGAGGTGGGTGGCATTCCAAGTTCTTGGGAGAGCTTTGCCGCCGAGTTCCTCCAGCCGATGTGCACCATTATTAAGGACCTCGGTGACTCTGAATGATCCTTCCCAGTTTTCTATGAATTTCCCTTCGGAGGGGTCCTTCCTGGTTTCTCCCCGTAATCTCCAGACAAGGTCACCAACTCTAAATGTTCGTGGCCTGACCTTGGTGTTATATCACCTAGAAACTCAGAGTTTGCAAGCTTATTCTCTTATTTGAGCTTCTTCCCTGATTTTGCCAATCAGATCAAGGTTGGTCGTCACTTCTTCATCATTTTGTTCTTTACTAAAGGTGATTCGTCGGTGAGCCGTTCCTCCAACCTCGACTGGAATCATGGTGTCGGGGCCATATGTCAACCTGTAAGGTGTTTCCTGTGTTGTTGATTATGGGGTACAAAGGTACGCCCAGAGAATGCTTGGTAGTTTGTCCACCCATTGTCCCTTAGCTCGTCCCAACCTTTTCTTTAGTTCTTGGAGTATGACTCTGTTTGCGGCTTCAGCTTGGCCGTTCGTTTGTGGGTGTTCAACCGAGGTGACCTGGTGCCTAATGTCAAGTTCCTGGAGGAAGCTTTCGAAGATTTGGCCAATGAATTGTCTCCCGTTATCGGTGATGAGGGAGTTTCGCAAGCCGTATCGACATATTATGTTTTTCCACGTAAATTTTTGGATATTGTCCGCGGTGATCTTGGCGAGTGGGCATGAGTTTGTACTGAATATGTGAGTTGTTTTGGTTTAGGATTGTAGTGGGGAGCTTGGATATGAGTTTAAGGTGGAAAGTAGTGAGTTTGGAATGGTTGAGGTATTTTGTGGGATGCTAGTACACTATTGTTGTATGGTGTAGGGA